ATTATTTTTTTTAATTCAAACTAATGCTAAAAGAGTATGTTGATCATCAATATTAAGTTAAAATAATTGATTAGTTTAAATGAAAGTGATTCTAAACCAGCTTTGGTGTAGATGTTTCAGAGTTCTGAAAGTGGCCTGACATTTTAAAACAAAATACAGGGCTGAAATTTCAATGTAGCGTTCATAGAGACAACGTGGCAATGGGTTGGTACACCATGTACCATAGAAGAAAACAGTGTATGTGTATATGTACGTCCTCAACAGAATTGAACCAAAATGTGTGAGTGTGTTCAAGTACCTCCACATAATCTTTGGCATGGCCCCAGTCTCTCTTGGAGTCTAGATTGCCCAGACTGAAGCACTGCAACTGCCCAAGATGGATCTTCGCCACAGAGCGACTGATCTTCCTAGTTACAAAATTCGAACCTGGAAAAACATGTACACACAGATTTGAAAAATTAGTATGAAGCATTAATTCTGCCTTGTCATTCTTTTTCACTCTCATTTAGTTTTTTTTCATGCTTTATTCTTTTCTTGTACCTGTCCATTTCATTAATTTTTGATCCCACTCCCCCCCATACATGTCAGTGCAAATTTGCGTTTCGGCCAAAGCGAATTGAGAACTATGGCCGTCAATATGTCCTTCTCGCACACACACAGGCAGAAACACACTAACAGTCACACACAGGGATAAAATCAGACTCTTGTCAAGTCACTGGACCACCCCAGAGAATCTGTAAGCCCGTCCAAAGTCCTACTGAGCTGCCAGACACACACGCACACACACACATGCTTCATCTGTGGGAAAACTTGGACGCTCTCATGTCCTGCTGGGTTGTGCTATAGCTTGAATCAGACAGAGGTGGGAGTTCTAGACGAAAACCTCCACCGCCTATAATATCAGGCCCGGGTCAGAGCAGGAACACACTTACTTTAAGTGTATAAGTTAACGACCACTATTACGCTCTTGACTTGGGCTGAAGCCTACATGTGTGTGTGATTTTGGCCATAAAAGCTGCCTGGAGAGAATCAGCAATGCCGGGAAGATCATGTCCTATAATTGCACAACAAAAGTCAACTACAAAATTGGGGCGGTCTTAAACCTTTCTTAAACTTTTTTCTGCTTGCCCAGTAAGGCTAGATTTCTACTTGCTCTGCGCCCATGAATTTATAATGTCATGTTTACATTTATAACTGTAAATATAACAGAAATATACAATTGCTGTAAGGTTTAATATTTAGTTCCCATAGCTTAAACGGCAAATGGTCACGGGTTCGATTCCCAAAGAATACATGAACTGATGACATGTTTATAACTCACTTTGAATAAAACCGTCTGCCAAATGTATAAATGTACATTTATTTGAAAATGATTGAAACACATTTATAAGCATTCCTGTAGCTTAAACTGTAGATCATGGCCAAAACACACATTTGCCAAGGTTTGATTCCCAGGAACATGCATGAACTGATATAATTTAAATATGATTTAAATAAAGTGCAAGTCACTTCTTTAATAAAAGCACTTGTCAACTGCATAAATGTACATTTCTTTAATTATTTAAAAGCATTCAAACAGTAGACAATGGGCCCAAGCGACGCCAAGGTCATTGGTTTGATTCTCAGGGAAAGATTTAACCGATTAAAAATCAGCCAAATGCGTAAAAGTGTACATTTGAAAAATATTATTAGTTACTAAACTTTTTTCACATTTTCACCATTTTAATCAAATGTTAAGTTGTCTTTACCAAAAAGCAGCAATATAGTTTTTACTAATAAGCAGAATTCGCAATTAAATATCATAGAAAACCATATGTTTATGTTTTCCAGGCATAAAAATTATTGTACATGATTGAAAAAAAATAAGTAAGATATGCTGTAGCATGATCCAAAACAGTGGCCCTAGGCCAGCAGGTCACCTTTATTGCTGAGCCTTGATCTGCAGTGTAACCTGAAATGAAATGTAAAAAAAAATAAATCATAAGTGGACAAACTCTTTCCACTTACAGGATGACCGTCATGGGCCCCCCGTGTGCAGGCTTGCTGCTATCACAAAGGGCTCTTTCTAATCCGTACTAAACGCAGCTCATGACCAGGTGCGTGAGCTTGGCACGAGAAGAACGGTTTAAAATACCACACTGTAAACAGCCGGGTCAATCCATCGTCACAGACAAACCACAGGGGGGGACCCGAGGATCTGATTTCTACTCACTCGTTTGAAAAAAAGAGAGGAAAAAAGTAAATCGAAGCCGATTGACCAAACCGTGGTCCACAATAATGGGGGGGCTATGCGTCTGTGCGCAAGTGTGTTTAAAAGTCCAAGACATGCCATTTCCGCACACCGGCTCCTGTTTCCAGTCGGAGTGTAATTAGGCCGTCTCTTAGCACACGGTGGGAAGCCATGACGAGGAGCAGAGTCGCAGGGAGTCGACCGCAGCTCGCTCTCATCAAGTCTAAAACAACCCAGTTTAGGGCAGGTTTAGACCGTGATTATGCGGACGGGATCGCAGCAGACCTGCAGGTGTGCGTGTTGGCAGCGGAAGGTGCCCGGGCGCTGTCAATGCACATTTTAAGAGTAATGAGCGAGGGTAACGTTGAGTATCTAGGTGAAATTTCTAATGGATGGAAAGACGCCCTGCCAAACCAGGTGGAAATAAAGTGCAGTCAAGATGTCTGGTCTATCAGTCACTGACACTTAGATATTTCCAGCACGTGAAAAAAAACGACTGTCAGTACAAGGCCCTGTTCCTGTTTCTTGACATATGTCTGAACACACATTCATGCAGATGTACACGCAACCATCGGATTGCCACGTTCATTTAAATGAATGACAAAAACACACAGCAGCACCCTGCTCTCTTTCAGAACTGGCAAAGCTGCAATGTCAAACCAGAAAAACAGTTAGAGCGCTCAATAATATGGTTGGCCCGCTGACCCGGAGGCCGTTATGAGTTTTGGCCCAGCTGACTAAACTGTCAGTTGTCTTATTGGGTCAGTGCTATATCTTATGAGTTTTTTATTATAGTTACATACAGAAAACTATATAATATGTAATGAGTTTTTATTATAGTTACATACAGAAAACTATATAATATGTAATGAGTTTTTTATTATAGTTACATACAGAAAACTATATAATATGTAACTTCCAGATACTATTCTTAATTTTCTTTGTAAAGAAAAATGTACATTTAATGAAAAAATACATTTATATTTGTGAAAAAATGCATGATAATATTAATATGAAATTAACATTAATATTAATATGAAATTAACATTTAGAAACGTCAAAAATTATGAATGTAAAATATATAATTACATTCTTAAAGGGTACATATCATGAAAATCTGATATCATATAATTTCTGTGTTTAAGTGCTATAACGGGTCCCTGGTGCACCTACCAACCCAGAAAACGTGAAATAGCGACATCAGTGTACTAGTTCTAACACCATGGCGAAAGTTTGAGCAAAGCATGCTAACTGTTCTGTCTTTGGCTGCACTGAGGAGCACAGCCTCAGAGGAGACAAGAGAGCAGTGGATTTATTGATTTATTTAATGTATATTACACTGCTGTAGTGTTGTCAAAAGTACTGACCGCAATACCAGTCGGTACTCTAATTTTAAAAACGTCCATTTCCGGCTAACATTTGAGCGATGTTAAGTGGATTCTTAAACACCGCTGATTTGCCATAGTGTTCACGCACTCCGCTCGGTGAAGAGCGTGAAGCAATGATCATTGAAGCCAATCACAGTCATATCTGTTGAGCGTGTGAACACTGGTCAATCAGCGCTGTTTAGGAATCCACTTAACATCGCTCAAATGTTAGCGGGAAACTGATGTTTTTAAAATTACAGTACCAACGGGTATCGCGGTCAATACTTTTGATAACACTACACTGCTGGCACACAGATCTAATATAAACATGCAATTTCTTTTTAAGTGCAATAAGACATGAAAGAGAACTTAGTTTAGTACTCACATGCCTCGTGACAGCCGCTTTCTGTACGCGTGCTTCGGATGTTAAATAAATAAATTAATAATAAATAAACAAATGACTAATTATGTTGCAAATAATTGCAAATAATAAAGGGTTTTGCCTTTTTTATTTTTTATATATATTTTTATAAAATAAAATGTATAATATAATACAACTAATTATCTAAGACGCCTGTGGAAAATATTGGCAGGTTATGTAGAAATCTCAACTACTTCCCCAACTAGGCATTTAGAAAAAAATCCTTATTGTTGAGCCCCAAGTAACGAACCATGTCAGCTTTTGGGAGTGCATGTGGGAGTGTGTGTCGGACAGACAGAGAGTGAGAAGCAGAAAGCTAGAGAGATACAAGGTGAGGAGTACAGCCTCAGAGGAGACAAGAGAGCAGTGGATTTATTGATTTATTTAATGTATATTACACTGCTGTAGTGTTGTCAAAAGTACTGACCGCAATACCAGTCGGTACTCTAATTTTAAAAACGTCCATTTCCGGCTAACATTTGAGCGATGTTAAGTGGATTCTTAAACACCGCTGATTTGCCATAGTGTTCACGCACTCCGCTCGGTGAAGAGCGTGAAGCAATGATCATTGAAGCCAATCACAGTCATATCTGTTGAGCGTGTGAACACTGGTCAATCAGCGCTGTTTAGGAATCCACTTAACATCGCTCAAATGTTAGCGGGAAACTGATGTTTTTAAAATTACAGTACCAACGGGTATCGCGGTCAATACTTTTGATAACACTACACTGCTGGCACACAGATCTAATATAAACATGCAATTTCTTTTTAAGTGCAATAAGACATGAAAGAGAACTTAGTTTAGTACTCACATGCCTCGTGACAGCCGCTTTCTGTACGCGTGCTTCGGATGTGTGCGCTCAGGAAACCGTATATCAGAAGTTTAAACTAATATGGTTTAAAACGCATGATTTCAGCGCGATAGACATGATCATCAAAACTAAACAGATGTTTTTTTTAGCAGAGTATCTGAGGAACGAGCTGTACAGCCCTATTCTGGAAAAGGAGGGGGGAGCAGCAGGTCATTTGCATTTAAAGAGACATGCATGAAAACAGTGTGTTTCTGCTTCCACTCAAAAAAGGCATTTTCAAAATGATATAATAAATGACCTGTGGGGTATTTCGAGCTGAAACTTCACAGACACAATTTGGGGACACCTGATACTTATATTACATATTGTAAAAGGGGCATAATAGGTCTCCTTTAGTACAATATATAATATGAAAGTTATTTTATATAATGCTAGAGAGATACAAGGTGAGGAGTGAGGTTTAATTTGAGACATTAAAGGAGCATCTCATTCACTTCCCTTCTTTGTTGCCATGACAACATGACAACACAAACACAGGTGTGTGAGGCGGGTAGACGAGGAGTGAAAGAGCAAAACATCTCATGGCTCCTCCAGCAGTGTGCACATGTGCGTGTGTGCGTCTGCGATAGGTGAGAGGTCCATCGACACCTTCATACAGGTGCAGCCCTTCTCACCTGGAGAGGTTTAACTTCTTAAAACGCTCGTCTTTCAACAGGAAAGAGGGAACGTGAACGAACAAAAAGACGAGAGATGAGTGTGTAATGGAGGAGCCCTCAGATGTCGTCTGATTGACTGGCACGACCGTTTCTCTCGTCTACAACTACACACTGTTATTAGACGTACGAACCTGAATAGGTGTCAAAGTGTAACTGCTTTCACATGCGCACACACCCCAGACGTCTCTGTGGCAGATTTGTAACAGATTATTTTTCTCTTCTCATATTTCGTAAACTCTTTCGGAGCGAGTTTGTTTATTGGTGAAAGTGGACACCGGCTGAAATTCCGAAGTGAATTCCAAACTAGATTAACTCATCATCGCTGGCCCGCCCAATGAGGGGAGGCTACCACTGAGATCAGACAGGAAATGAAGTTGGCTTTTTTCACACTATCCCATCCATCTCTCTCCCTGTCTAGCTATCTAACCCTACTCCAGCCCTGTACTCCCTTCTTTCCTCGTCTTCCTTCAACTTATACACACACTTAGACTGTCTAGTTGGCCATGTTTGTGTCACCCGCTTAAAAATCCACGCCACTAATGACATCACCGCTCTTCCTGTGCTCTGGAATTGTGGGTGGGGGCACAGAACAACACTCTTGTTGTTGAGAAGATGTCATGGCTGCACCCTTTACCAAATGTTGTGTCATGATACTCCCCCGTAAACCAATCACAATGGGTCTGGCCACACATGCAACATGCTCTCTGGACTCTTGCATCACTTCCTTTAGTGTAGTCTGCAGAGCTGTTATTGTATGTCTCATAACCCAGTGAGCCATCTTGATGTCTAGATAAGTCCGATTCTGTCTGATTAAGAAATTAAATTAAACTATATTTAATCACGTGACACCACAAAACTGTCACTCCCATTACAATCACTGAAAATATCTACACTTTAAGCGCTTATAATGGGAGTGATCTAGTTGCTGTGTCACGCCACGCACTTGTAACGTAAACAGTTCTGTTGCGCCAAGATTGCCATCAAGGCACTGACAGACTGTTTGAGGAATATTCACACTCCAGTCCAGAGGTTCCATCTAGTAGCAAATATTTGTCATTTAAGCAAACTATGAAAGCTTCACGCCTAAAAATGACTGATGAATTTGCTTTACAGTAATCCTTTGGTTGTTAATGAGTCTACAAATGAGTTGAAATTTGGTTCTTTAAAATACATATTTGCATGTGTAGTGAGTGCTACATTACGTAGATTTATTTTTTATTATTATTTTTTTTGCATCACGTTGAAAAGTTTGGGGTCAGTAAGGTTTTGTTTTGAGAGAAATTGAAACTTTTATAATGACATTTATATTTATAAGAGCAACATTTATATTGCTACAAAAGACTTATTTAAAAAAATGTTGCTCTGCATTAAATAAATCTGTCAATCAAATAATCCTAAAAAAACACTGTGTCATGATTTCCACACTTCATTTAGCCATCTATATTTCAACATTAATAATAAGAAATGTTTCCTGAGCAGCAAATCAACATTTTCTAAAGGATCACGTGACACTGAAGACTGGAGTAATGGCTTCAGCTAACTTTAAATGACTTTTTAAAATATAATAAAAATATTCTTTTAAATTGTAACATCATAATATTACTGTATTTACTGTATTTTTGATCAAATTTATTTATTTATTATTTAATTCATTGATGTCATCAAAAATACAGTAAATACAGTAATATTATGATGTTACAATTTAAAAGAATATTTTTATTATATTTTAAAAAGTCATTTAAAGTTAGCTGAAGCCATTACTCCATTATTATTAATTAATTAAATTAAATTATTAAATTAAATTATTAAATAAATGCAGCCTTGTTGAGAATAAGAGACTTCTTACAAAAACATAAAAAAAAATCTTACTGACCCCAAACTTTTGAATGGTAGGGTAGTTGAGATGTTAAAGGGATAGTTTAACAAGAATTACAATTCTTAAAAATACCTAATAAATTCAAACATTCGACATGAGGGTGAGTAAATTATGACAGAATTTAGATTTTTGAGTGTACCTGTAACATACTGGAAGCATTTAAGAATTATAAATGCATTTGTATGCAAGACTTACATTTTTAAACTCCCACTATTCATTACTCTTATTTTGTTATGAAAATTAAAAAGGAGGTTGAGTTGTTAAACCTGACCAGAACTTATGCCCGTTTTGATGAATGAGGTGACAGAAATTATGAGGTCTAACACATAGCAGTGGCTGTTGGTTACTGCACATTTTTCAAAACCAAATGAAAATGAAACCACATAAGGCGTACTTTTACCAGAAAGTGACCCCTAAGCAAAGTAATCTCAGTAGCTCTGCACTAGAAGAAGAAGAACCAAATGTTTTTACTGTATTTTTGATCAAATAAATGCAGCCTTGGTGAGCATAAGAGACTTCTTTCAAAAACATAAAATCTCACTGATTCTAAACTTTTGAACATAGGGTAGAGTTAAATAAACAGTTCACCCAAAAATGAAAAAAAAAAAGAATTCATAAAAATATATTTTTTGTGTCATACATTCGACATGAGTGTGAGTAAATGGAGACAGAACTTTGATTTTTGGGTTGAACCTGTAACATACTGGAAACATTCAAGAATTATTAATACATCTGTATGCAAGACTTACATTTTTAAACTCCCACTGTTCATTAATATCATTTTGATATGAAATTTTAAAAACAAGGTTGAGTTAAGTCTGACCAGAAAATGTTTTGATGAAAATATGAGGTCTACCGCATAGAAGTGACTGTTGGTTACTGCACATTTTTCAAAACCAAATGAAAATGAAACCACATCAAGCGTATACGTTTATTAGAAAGTGGACCCCAAGTGAAGTAATCTCAGTATTCCTGCACTAGTTCTAAGAACCAAACAAACTAAAACAGTAAAAAGTTTTTTTCATCTTGTGTGTGGTGTGTCTGACCTCTTCTAGGACTCTCATGATTGAACAAGATCCCATTCACAGCAAAGAGGTTATAGGCTTCCCTGAAGTTTACCACTATCCAGTATGCATAGAGTTTAGCAGCACCTGCGAAGAAAATAAGATATATATGTGTATTTATTTATTATTAATATAACAACGTAAAAATATAAAGACACAGCATGTTTTTAGATGTGTGCGTGCTGACCATAAGGAGAACGTGGGTAAAATGGTGTGGTCTCCTTCTGGGGAATTTCCTGTACTTTCCCGTAGAGTTCGCTGGTGGAGGCCTGGTAGAAGCGGACGGTGTCAGTTAAACCGCAGGTCTTCACTGCATCCAGCAGCCGTAGGGTCCCCAGCCCGTCAACGTCTGCGGTGTACTCAGCCAGGTCAAAGGAGATCTGACAAACACAAGGCATTTATGCGTAAGACTTAAATGTAAAAGTATACAAGTAAATGGCTAAATGCAATTCAGTCTTATGACATAACTCAATAACATAAGCCAAGAAGTTGCCAACATAAACATAATTTAAGGAAATATGAAAACAAGTAACTGCCTGGTAATAAAACTCAGTGCAAAACGCTCTAAACTGAGAGCAGGAATCTTCTTTTTGGTTGATATCAAGTGTCTTTGTTTGCATAGAGCTGCATGCTCTGCTGTTACTGGAAAACACAGAGCATCAAACGACAGCTAAATGTTGTATATGGATAACTGTATTCGTTGCATATAATTTGCAAGCCATCAAAAGAGCAACAACACAGTATTATCTAACAATGTTGCATTATCTCTAGCTTGATTTTGCAGTGTATTTCAAACTATTATACAAACAAAACTGACTATCAACAGAAAATCTGAACCTTAAAGGATTTTGTTAACTGATTCACTAAAAAGATTAGACTTAAAAGAACAATTTGTTCACAAATCAGTCATTGTTACTTCTCTCATGAATGCGGGAAAGAGAACAAGCATGGATGTCAAGATTTTCAGTGAAAAATTTTTTTTCAGCCTGTTCCTAATAAATAGTTATTAGGGTTGGGTAAAAAATATCGATATCTCGATATTAATCGATTCTCATTTTTACGGAATTAATACTAGTTATAGCACAAAATAAACATGACTAAACATCCGAAGGTAAGTTAAAAGAAAGAGTACAACTTTACAATCTGTATCCTGTCTCATGTAAACGCTCAATCTGTGTTTCAGTCGTGCAAAGATGCCAATATAATGGCTTGTAAACAATGTGTCACGTAACGTCACATTTACCTCAGAAAATCCATCAAGTTTTTATGACAGCCACCATTTAAATGTTTATATTTCAAAAAACGAACTGAAGTAGAAATATTAATATGTAACTGTAACTTTATTATTGTAAAAACAATATTATAGTAATGTTGTACCAACTGACTCTCATGTATATTTTACAGCATTAGTTGAGATGTTTTTTCCTTGAGAAAATAAGGCATGTACTGTACCTGATATATAGGGTAAATGTACCTATTAAGCTCACCAAAATCTACATTGAGTCATTTTAGTGCACAAGATATTGGTTTCAGTACAAGAAGTTATATTAAAATAAAATATTAATCTCTCTCACAAAAATGTAATTTTATTTTAAATGACAAAAGCATTTGAATTAAGATATACATCATTAAATGCAAAAGGTCTGGCTATGCTTAATGAGTACATTTTTGTACCCAAAAAACAAACTATTTACAAAGTAGGTAAGTGTATGAAGCCTAGTCTTTTAAAAATCTGTTCACATTTTAAAATTCCAGCCTTTAGTTGCCTTTTTCCTGGACAGATACTACAGGTTTCTGTTGGCTCCTTCTTTGAATGGAAGACATGCCTCTTTCATCTTTAGGCATAAACTATAGTTATGTCTCGATTTTGTCATCTTAAAGCTGTTAAAATAAGTTATTAATCGTTTTATTGAGATCAACTTAAAGTGACGACCATCAGTTAATATTTAAAGACTGTTTATGAAGTATTTACATAGACGTTCAATGTGGAAGAGCTTAAAGAGAGCACACTGAGCTTAATTGGAGCAGCAACAATTTTTAATACATTTCATGTAATAATTATTAAAATGACAAGATTTTGCTAAATACATAATCTAGGTCATGTATTAAGTTCACAAATATTTTAATATGAACAACTATTATTAACAATATCTATGAAATTATACTTTTTCTTATTGATGTCACACTGAAACTGTGTGATTTTCATAGTAGTGTACGCTTTAAGCTCACCTGAATAATATGAAATCTTTAAAAATTACAGCAGTATAAAACCACTGACCAGCAATAAACTGTCAATTTATAATATTATGGATTTAAAAGTACAAGCCAGTAATGCCTGTGAAGTAATATATTAGCGTAGCACACAATCTTATACAGCTAGTCAGCTAACTGTGTTTTGTAGCATCTGCGCTATGTTGCTAAAACTATCTTTTGGATCTAACTGTAATTATTTCCCACTTCCAAGTTCCAGGTTATACTATGCAAAAGTCTGAACATTAATCTCTTAATTTTACAGTAAGTAGTGAATCTTACCCAAAATAAAGGCTTAAACATCTAAAAAAATGCACATTTAAAGGGCTCCTCTTTTGGTGAAAGTTTTCAGACAGGTTTAAAAATGGCCGCCAGACAGTGTCAACACATGGAGACCCATATCTCAGTGTATAATTATCTGAATGACTTGAAATTACAGGAGGTATGTAGTAGCAAACACATCAATTGGTTAAGACATCAAGTAGGATAATAAACAAATTTTTCTTTTTATAATCGGAGTTCAAAAATGGAAGTGTGCTTAATGGGTACGTGAGCTTAATAGGTACGTTTACCCTATCCAAAATAATCAATATTGAATCGAATCGGCAATCGAATCGAAAGCTTGTGAATGAGAATCGAATCGTGAAATTTGTGTCAAAACCCAGCCCTAATAGTTATCCTACGACTTTAGAAGATGAATTTAGCGCACAGACTCATATGAACTTCTATCACACTTTCATTGTGCCTTTGCATCCTTTTGAAAACTTTAAATTAATTGTATTTATATGGAAAAAGGTACACTCATCAAAATTTCAGTCATACAGTATACAGAATAAAGGTGAGTAAATAAATGTTAATATTTGGATGAACTATTCCTTTAACATTGCAAATAGTTTGAGGTGCTACATCATGCAACTGAAATACTGCACAGTGTTTTTGAGAAAGAAGGTCTCTGCTCTAATTTAACGAGTTCAGACATACTCAATTCCCAAACACGAGCGAGCCGGGGAATCCCTGACTGAAACTGAGATGTTAAAGATAGGGAGAGAAAGCAAGAAACAGAAAGACAGACAGGAACTGAGCAGGAGAAAGAGAGAGAGAGACAACTCATCTAACCTGTTCCTAAAATTTGACATACGCTTCTCAGAATCGCACCTACACGTTTTTTCCATCGAGACAAACACTCGGCAACAGGCACGAACTGAATTAGTTCCGAAATACCCTAGTGCGCATCTGTAACCACACCTCAGAGAGAAAACAAAAGCGTCTGACAGCTGATTATCATGAGACTGAAATGATATTTAAGTGTCTTCGCAACGCAAATTCGCAGCACATTCAAAATAATCCTTATAATGCAGCAACGGATTGCCTTTAGTTGTGTTGCTTGGCGCTCGTCCAATAGCTATCATTACCGTTGCTGGGATAATTAGCTTGAAGTTTTTTGGACTGTGCAAACATGCTCTTAAATGTGAGCCAAAACATTCAATCATACCAGTTCGAACTAAGAGAGACATGTTTCTGTCAGGTACAAGTAGATTTATGTCTTCAGATTGTGTGGAGAGCTTTCACGGCATCTTGCCACGCCGCAAGCAATTTTAATTTCTTGGGCATTGTTTTCTCCAAACAAACAGCCAGGATGCGGATTTCAAATGTCATGAAAATGCCAAAATAGTGCTATTAGAGGAACACCGATACCGTAATTTGCTCTTTCCAGCTGTTACTAGTAGCAGTAGCCATTGCGTTGATGCAAGTAAGTGTGCTGCGAACTCCAAATTGCTCCCTCTATGCATTTGCAGGCTAAGAAAAGACGTGGAAATTACCGGGATTTTGTTGTTTATGTAAGCTCGGCCGCATTTTACACGTTATCCGAAGTGAGCGGGAGACTCGTAGAAAATTGTGCTGTAAAAGCAATTTCTTCGTGTTTCCACAGCAACTTGGAACTGTCAGGGGGGTAGGATTTATGTCTGACATCGGGAAAATCCCCGTGGCCCAGGGCGACTCGTGCACAAGCGAACACCCTCTCTCTTTCGGCTCTACCTAATAGAGCTGGCCTCCTCTGTCGATAATACTCCTACACTCCTCACGGCTTCGGCACGTCAGGATTGGAATTCATCAGCTAATTAAATCTATGCTTGAGATGACACCAACTTCCCTCGCTCTTCTGCCTGCTCAACCAGACACGCTCACCTCATCATTCACTCCTTCCCTCAAACATAAACACACATGTAAACATGGCAACAGCCTGGATCATTATGGGCTACGGTTGGGGTTGCCCCAGGCGCAAGTTGTCTGTAGCAATCGCAGAGCTCATAGACGCTTGTGTGTGTGAGAGCGGAGGGAGGGGAGAAACCATGACTGCGAATAATTAGGGAATCATTTAGCCTGTTACAGATGTCCTTAAACTGTCTCCATCCTTGTAAAAACAAAGCTCTATTTTTAACACATCTTATGTATCCAGAAGACAACATTTCTCAACCTTTTTCGTTTCGTGTAGCCCCACAGCTCCATCAGTAGGGCTCAGGAACCCCCTTTATTGACTCCAATTTAGAGATCTTTTTATTTTATTTAATAATTTGAATTAATCTTAACTTAAAAAAATGAATAAACTAAGTTAAACGAATAATTAATTGAAAACTAAAGATTTGTTAATTTCATTTTCTAGTAACATTTTTTTAAATAAATTTATTTTATTAATTTTAATGTATTATTAATTATAATTAAAGGAGCTTATAATTAAATTAATTAAATTAAAATAAAAACATAAATATATATTTTTTAATTTTTTAATTATTTATATTTTTTTAAATCTATTTATATATTTAGAATGTATTTACTTTTTACCTAAGAAAATAGCTAAACACAAACAAAAAATAAAAAATAAACTAAACAATAAAAAAACAAAACAAACACACACACATAAAACCAAACTTTACAAAACAAAACAAATCTTTACAAAATAAAACTTTATTGTTGTTTTTTCTTTGTTGTTTGTTGTTTCTTGTTTTTTTTCTGTTTGTTCTTTTCTTTTAATTAAAGGGGTAGTTCACGGTTTTTTTTTTCTAGGCTTGATTGTGTTTATGGGGTGCAGTCTAACATGTGTTAATGCTTCGTTTTAAAAAAAAAAAGCATT